CCCAAAGGCAAGTTCTTATCAGATGCCTTCATAAGTTATTAATGAGGCTTCAATCTCCCTTCTACCTTTACCATGTTTAATTAGGTTTCCTGGTCCCCAAGGCCTTTCATTTTCAACCGGAACTCACCAACCTTCACATGTTCTCGTAATTATAAAACGAAGCAGGTACTTTTCTTTTAATTAAAAACATTGTTTAGCTTTTGCCCATTTCTTACAGGTATTAGCTGCATGAGTTAAATTTCAATTGCTCCAACAATTTTGCAAGCAAATTTTTTCTCTATCATCCATACAGCTTTCTTTGGAAGTTGTATTTGATTGAGTGAATTTCAGAGAGCAAAACAGAGCAAAGATAAAGGAAAAGTTACAGCTTGCCCACTTAAGCTCCGGAAGAGTTTACCCCCTTCATGACCAGGTCACTTTTTGCTATTCAGCACTGCTCTACTTTAACTGGCAATTGCGCGGTCACACTACACTGTACCCACATGAAATATATATAATTTAAAAAAAAACAAATAGAGTTTTTTTTTTTGGTGCCATTTGATCGCCACCAAGTTTAAAATTTTTTTGTTATATAAATGAAAAGAGACAGAAATTGTAGAACCCCTGCCCCCCCCCAATATTTTCCATCTTCCATTATAAAACATATCCAATAAAAAAAAAACATAAAATCTAATTTCTTCATAAATTTGGGCCAAGATGTATTTTACTACATGTCTTTGGTAAACAAAAATCCCAATATGTGTATGTGAGTTTGTGTGAAAGTTATACTGTCTACAAACAATGGTATATATTCTGAAATTTATATTTATTTATTTTTTTTTATACTAGTAATAGCAGAAATCAACAACTTATAGTGGCACTTTGATAATGCAGCACGCAAGCTGACACTGGGTGGGAACTTACTAAATAACACTGACATCTCCAGTGACACTAATACAGTGATCAGTGCTAATACTATACACTGCCACTGTACTGACTTTTGCTAGAAAGGGGTTAACATCTAGGGGTAATCAAAGGGTTAACTGTGTGCCTAACAATGAGTACTGTGTGTTGCTTTTACTGTCGAAGTGACTGTTTTATCTCCCTGCTTTGCAGGGAGAAGTAAACAGTCACATTGCTGCTCTCTGTTTAGAGCAATGTGTTCTTAGTAAACACAGGGCTCTGAACTGTCATTCACTAAGCCAGTCAGCACCTGGTCATAAATCATTGGCTGGGAACTGCTGATTGGCATGTGTTGTAGCACATACCCCCTACCTGGAAATGTGAGATCACGTACATGTACATGATCTGGCGCAGTGGGGCCTCTCTGCCACATTAAAACTGTGGTAGGTCATCAACTGGAGATCAGATACATATTCTACATTTAATTAACCTAAAGTGAGCAAAAGTATTCCTTCTGTAGATAAAATATTATTCTAGGGTTTTCTGCTTGCACACCATGCCACGTCTTAATCAGCAATTCTGGAGCCCAATTCTAAAGCCTAAATTCTGGATCTAAGATAATGGATAGTGTAACCAAAGAGTATTGATAGACAGAAGAAGGGTTTGAAGCTTTCAAGATGAAGATTGGCTAGATCTATTGTACGAGATAAAGTACTGTTGAAGCTTCCCTTTTTTTTTGTTTGAAAATAACAAACATGTTATACTTACCTGCACTGTGCAATTGTTTTGCACAGAGCAGCCCTGATCCTCCTTCTTGTCGGTTCCTCTGCCAGCGCTCCTGGCTCCCTCCCCACCCCCACTGAGTGCCCCATAGCAAGATGCTTGCTCTAGGAGCATTTGTGTGCACGCTGTCAAGCCCTGTTATGTGCATCCATAAGACACACACAGCGGGGCTAGGCCCTCCCCACTCCCTCCTCATTGGCTTTGATTGACAGCAGTGGGAGCCAATGGCTGCTGTATCTGCAGCAATGAGGAGTGAGAGAGACTTGGCTCCTAAGCACATTGCTGGATCAGGATTAGGCTCAGGTATGTATTTGGGGGAAGCTGCATGCAGAATATTTTTTTAGCTTACTGTATAAAATGCAGTAAGGTAAAAAATGTCCTGCCTTTACAACCACTGTAAAGGCCTGCTGATGCTTTCCATCAAATATTACTCTCAATTTATAGTTTAATAAACCAGTTTTCTTAAAATTTCTTAATCTTACCTCATCATCACACACCACACAGAGGACTAAGAGCTGATTCACACATGTGCGGCACAGATTAAAGCTCAGGTTTCACTGCTACAGTAGTTGTTCAGCAGTTCATGTCAGGTTTACATCAGGTTCAGGACAGGATCAGCTCAGGATTTTATCCTGTTCACACATATGCGGTTTAGAAACGGTTCCCATAGAAGTCAATAGCCTGTAATCTGCTCCTAAACCTGAACGCACTGCTCAGAAACCGTACATGACTCTTTTTCAAACCACACTGAATCTGCACCGCCAGTGCAGCGAACATACAGTATGTGAACAGGCACCAAAGGAATCAATGTTATTTCACATGTCATGCAGACTGGATGTGGTTCAAACCACATCCAATCCACATATATGTGAACTGGCACTTAGATATTCATGACCACTTTAGTTATGCCACCACCTTCAGGTGAATGAATACTAGGAAAAAAAGGCTGTAATTCCTGTCCAAGAATGACCCCTCCAGCTCAGCTAAGGCTACTTTCACACTGAGCAGCGATAAAAATACATATTTTGCTGCATTTTTCCCGTATTTGCGGTGCGTTTTTAACATGACGTGACTCAAAAACAGCACCAACAACATACCGCGGGTGCGTTTTGCTGTGTTTTCCATTGATTTCAATAAGGAAGAGTGTTTTTGGTGGGTTTTTTTACCGCACCAATTTTGCAACAAAAATTCAGCAAGCATGACTTTGAAAAACATATCGGACCCGCAACAGATCAGTGTGATGAGTTCCATAGGAATATATGGTCTCACATTTTTTTTTTTTTATCACAAAAGCGGAAGAAAAATGGATCGGTGTGAAGACAGCCTAAGCCTAAGTTTTGTACTAGTGTCTAGTGGATGTGCTTCCCTGAGTCTCGCTGAAGATCTTCTTTCTGGGCTCTGTTCCCATTATCCCTGGCCTGTTCTTTATACCCCAGATGGGGCAGAAGTGGACCCTATCCAGATTGGTCTCGCAGGCAGCTTTGTAGTGGGGTTCCCCACATTCGTTTTTTTTTCGTTTTGTACAGGCTTAGTGACTGGAACTGTTCACATACACCTGTGATCCCAGCCCCAAGTCTCTGCTGATATCTGCTGTATACCACTGATTGCTTGTTGGAATGAGGCCTTAAAATGTCAGAAACAAAAACAAGCAGATCATTTCTAGACTGATTCAAGGTCAGTATCTGTGGACTTTTACCATTCCCTTTATCTGTGTGGGGAATTCCTCAGTGTGTCGCTCCCAATCTCTTCTCATTAAAAGATTTCTTGCCTCCAGTTAAGATACAGTGCTTGATAAATAGGATAATTCATTTTTTCAGAAGCCAACATTAGATTGAGATCGATGGTGCCTAGTCATCCAATTACTTGTTTCTTGCAAAGTGTCAGTTTTTTTTCTTCCTGTTTCACTATTTAAACTTTTTGTATATTCTGATATAATTAGATGTATTAAAGTCTGCTTTTGATGGGCATAACTTAATTATAGCCTGTGTTAGAGAAGTTCCTACAAGCAGATATTGTGGCTTATTATATTTAATAGGTGACTTTGATTTGTAACCCCTTCTTTATTCCATACCGTAGGCGAGGTACTGTATTTAATGCATACAACTTATCAGGGTGCAAAAAAGCGTGAGTAATCTTATTACCACAATGCCCGACCCTGGTTATTTTTTCTTTTCTTAGAATTAATTTGGACAGAATTATCAGGTATCTTCAATGTTATCTTTGATCACAAACGTGTTTCTTTACTTGCATTTATGAGATTTCTACAATCCAGACAGTTATTTAATACAGGCATATTTTGTACACTCCTCTTCTGTAGTTTAATAATGTGTTTTAATGCTACATCCTCTTATCACACATTCAGATCAATACATACTTATGCATCTCCAAAGTGCTTTTGTTCACATTGTTGGTATGCAGAAGGAGGATTTGCTACATTTTTCATCATTTTAGCCAGAGCTGCTGTGCCCATTATGTATATTTGCTCCTGCATGTAACAGCTCCTAGAAACAGCATGTACAATTGTCACCAGAGAGATAATTACAGCTGAAATGCCAGCCACTGCCTCATACCTGTTGCTTGTGTTAAAAGCCCTGGTATATATTGAACCAGCATAGGGTATATACTGAACTAGTAAGGTTTTGAATACAATGGATATAAAGGAATACTCCTTCATGGGCCTCATAGGTACAAGCCCATTCGGATGATATGATGGTTTGAATATTTAACATGCTAAAGTATATCAGCTGCATTAGTAATCAGCAAAGTGTCAATGAGCATTGACTGCATTATAGAGATCATCGTCTCCATGGTAACATTTGTACACGCCAGCCCCAAGAGCTATAAATTAAAATGTTACTAGACCAAGGGCCCTGCATTCACTGTATCTGATCTCCCACAGTACACAGAACATGGAAATGCAATTACCGTATTTGCCGGCGTATAAGACGACTGGGCGTATAAGACGACCCCCTACTTTTCCTGTTAAAATATAGGGTTTGAGCTATACTCGCCGTATAAGACTACCCCTCTTCCAACGCACACCAAATAAAAATGAAAAAACATCAGATTTGATTTCAATATGGTATGGTATTTCAGTATGGTATTCCAATGGTATGCTATTCCTCCCACTGACACCAATGATGGGGCATGATTCCAATGACACCAATGATGAGGCACTATTTCCTCACTAATGATGGGGCACTATTTCATCCACTGACACCAGTGAGGGGGCACTATTCCTCCCACTGATACCAATGATGGGGCACTATTCCCCCCCACCACTGACACCAATGATGGGGCATGATTCCTCCCACTGACACCAATGATGAGGCACTACTCTTCCCACTGACACTAATGATGGGGCACTATTTCATCCACTGACACCAGTGAGGGGCACTATTCCTCCCACTGATACCAATGATGGGGCGCTATTCCTCCCACTGATACCAATGTGTCCCATCATTAGTGTCAGTGGGAGGAATAGTGCCCCATCATTAGTCAGTGGGAGGAATAGTGCCCCATCATTGGTGTCAGTAGGTGGAATAGTGTCCCATCATTGGTGTCAGTGGAAGGAATAGTGCCCCATCATCAGTGGGAGGAATAGTGCCCCATCATTGTGTCAGTGGGGGGAATAGTGCCCCATCATTGGTGTCAGTGGGGGAATAGTGCCCCATCATTGGTATCAGTGGGAGGAATAGTGCCCCATCATTAATGTCAGTAGGAGGAATAGTGCTCCATCATTAGTGTCAGTGGGAGGAATAGCACCCCATCATTGGTATTAGTGGGAGGAATAGCGCCCCATCATTGGTATCAGTGGCAGGAATTGCGCCCCATCATTGGGGAGGAGGAATAGTGCCCCATGGTTGGTGTCAGTGGGGGGGGAATAGTGACCCATCATTGGTATCAGTGGGGGAGAAAAAGTGCCCAATCATTGGTGTCAGTGGGGGAGGAATAGTGCCCCATCATTGGTGTCAGTGGGGAGGAGGAATAGTGCCCCATCGTTGGTGTCAGTGGGGGAGGAACAGTGCCTCATCGTTGGTGTCAGTGTGAGGAGGAATAGTGCCCCATCGTTAGTGTCAGTGGGGGAGAGGAGCGGCTGCTCCTTCTTTCAGTTCAGTTGATTTTCGCGGGGCCGTTTGGCTCCGCCTCCTCGCCGGTGATTGGTCGCCTGTGTGCCTTTCCAGTGCTGGCGCCCAATCACCGGTGAGGAGGCGGAGCCGAGCGGGCGGCGGGACCATCGAGCGGCCGAACTGAAAGAAGGAGCAGCCGCGCTTCCTGGACCGGATCGTCGTGGGACTGGAGCCAGGTAAGGTACAGCAGCCCCTCTGCCCACCCCTGTACTTGGTGTCCGTTGGAGGAGGAGGGGGGGGTGGCGCCGCCCCTCGAAAAAGTGCCGCCCTGACACCGGCTCGCCGTATACCGGCGTATAAGACGACCCCCGACTTTTCAAAAGATTTTCACGGGTTGAAAAGTCGTCTTATACGCCGGCAAATACGGTATTTTAGTAAATAGCTAAATACCTTTTCTCATCTGCAGTATATAGCGGTTTTGTGACTTCTGTCAGTGTCCAGCTGAGCATTGGTTCATCTTGCAGGAGGAATTTTCATTCTCCTCTATTTGTCCTAAGAGGCTGCATAACCCCTGACCTTCTGTCTGGACAGTGCTGATTGGCCCTGTGCTGATCACATGCACTCTCCCAAGAAAAAAAAAGTCTCTAGCAATACACACCAAACTGATCATGTGGAGCTTTCTCCCAAAGCTCTGTTCTGTCAGCAGATGGATTGGAGACTGTAGAAGAATGGGAAGATCAGAGAAGTCAGGATCAAACATCCTTTTTACACAATGCAGAGGATTAACCCCTTAGGCTTCACAGTGAGTATAACAAGCATGCTTTACTGCATATACAGACTGATTTTAGTAACACTTTAAAGATATGTAAACAATGTTTAACTCTTTTGCTGCCAGGGCCATTTTTGCATAATTGTTTTTTGCACAATTTTTTGCACATTTAAAAAGATCATTTTAGGCATGAACAGGGGCGGACTGACCATTTGGAAACACGGGCACTGCCCGGGGTCAGTAGGGGGCCCCATGAGATGCCCCTGGTACCTTTTTCATAGGCTTTTTTGAGTTTGGGCAAGGACATAGGGGCCCCATGATCCCCTATTGCCTGGGGGCCCCATGAATTGTCAGTCCACCCCTGGGCATGAAGTTTAGTTAAAACCCCCAAACATATATTGTCTGTCATATAGGGGTTTATTTACTAAAACTGGAGAGTGCAAAATCAGGCTCACTTCTGCATAGAGACCAATCAGCTGCTAACCTCAGCTTGTAAATAAGCTTTGGAAATAAAACCTGGAAGCTGATGGGTTTCTGTGCAGAAGTGAGCCTGATTTTGCACTCTCCAGCTTTAATAAATAAACCCAATAGTGTCTGAAAGCAGAAACCTTTGGAGAATAAAACCGTGGTGGTTCCAATTTTTTATGCCACATGATAGTTGTACAATGGCTTATAAAGCTCAAATATTCAGCAAGAAAATACACTAAGGCCTCATGCACACTGACAATCATTTTTAACTCCCCTAGAAGCCAGCACCATTTTGGCCAAAAAACTGCTTGACAGTGTTTACCTGCTTCAAGCGTTTGGGTATTAATTATTTCATTGGCCAGAATAATTCATTTATTCTGGCAATTGAAATAAATTAACGCTCAAGTGCTAAACGCAGCTAGTGTTAACATACGTTTAAGTGTGGCAAACGTTTTTTCAGCCAAAGCGCTGCTGGTCCTGGATGCCTTGGCAGTGGGTTTTTTTCTGCCACTAAACTCTCCTGCACAAAACGCTGCTACAATTCTATGTGTGCATGGACACATAGGCTAACATGCAGGGTAGTTTAGAGGCAGTAAAAAAAAAAAAAAAAGCCTGACGCTCCTAGGAGCAGCTGTAAAAACATCCAGTGTGCATGAGACCTAAAGTTCATTTTAGGGCACACAAACGTAATGTTTTACCCAAATCTTTGCTGAAATATAAAAGACGAGGTTGTGCTGAGTAAATAGGTCAAGCCTTAAAATTGCATGCGCCCGTTAAACAGGGACAAACTCTGGTACCCTACATTTTCCACAGGTGATGCTTTATAGCCCCTACAGGTTCTAGGATTAGAGTTATCTGTAAATATTTGGCCTAGAATTATTTCTCTCACTTTGGAGTGTTCACCATATGTACCATGTGTAGCAAAATCAACGTATTTGTTCATAGCCTTTCCTGATGCGTGCGTTTACATTCGTATGTACGTGGGGGTGCGCTCAAAACATTTTAAGTGCTTGGGTATAACTTCATTTTTTTATATATATTTTTTTTTAACTAAACATTTTTTTTCATCACATAGGAGACAAATTGTCCCTTATGTGAAGCATTGTTTGGTGATGGGTTCTCTTTCATGAGACATCAGGGATCTAAAGGACCACTGCTAGCTCACCTGTCCTCCAGTGAAGCTAATGGAGCACAGATCGCTCTCCATTAACTTTACTCCCAGTCACACTGGCTGAGGAAAGTGACACCAGGACCTTGAAGTGATGTTTCCATGTTACTTTTGTGTCATTAGCAAGAAGGGGATATCGGCAATGGACGTTCACTGATCTGTCTCCATTCTACCCAGCAGCACCCATCACATTGGTCTCCGGTCTGTACAGTGCTGGCACTAAAAAGGTTAAAGTGAATCTAATCCCAAGAACAAATATTTCATATATTATAGCTTACAAGTCCTCAGATGTGGTGGCTGCATTGCATTTAATTTTGGTCAGGTTTTTTTCTCCTTTTTTGGGGGGGGGGGGGGGGGGGGGGGGGGGGGGGAGTCTACAGTATCAAAAAAATCCTGTATTGCAAAAGCAGCAACATTCACTCACTGTACTATATCTGTGGAGGAACAGGGTTGTCCCTATAGAACAGACATGATTTTGGGACTAGACAACACCTCTTTCATCTTCTCCATTACATAAAGGGTGTGGCCCTCTGTAGACTAAAGCTGGCCATAGCTGGACCAAATCTCGGCCAGTTCAGCACAGACTGGCCGAGATGTGATCCATGTATGGGCACGCTGATTGTACCCAAGTCGATCCATCGATCGACTTGGGTACAACCAGCATGTCGGATTTTCAGTATGTAATTATTGCCAGTGGCTCTTTCACATCATCATCTGTGGCCTGCTTTAATGTGGCTCTTGAAGCTTAATTCCACCCATTTCAACCCAGTGTTTGTTTAAATTTAACTGCCTGTGTTCAAGACCAACTTTGGTTTAAATACAAAACAAAACACAGCCCAAGTTGCAATACTGACTTTCATTTCAACACTGTCACTTGTAGAACCTTTTCTCGGTCCCCAAAATGTCCTTGATTTTTTTCTGTTAAATGATGCCCAGAATCACTCAATCTGGAATAATGACTGTGATTGAGTGCAGTGTGCCATAGTTCCACCCCTTGAGCAGGGCGCTGTACACTCACAGTATATTTATGCAGAGTCCTGTGATGGAGTCATCACATCAGCGCCAATGTCTGCATCATGCAGGACCACCCATCACCAGGACAAGGCAGGGGAGTAAAAGGATCAAGGGGTTTGATTGACTAAAACTGGCAAAGTCTCTGCATAGAAACCAATCGGCTTACAGGTTTCTTTTTTTTTGTTATCAAAGTTTTATTGAACAAACTTACGTTAGAAGCTAATTGACTACTATGCAGAGGCGCACCAGATTTTGCACTCTCCAGTTTCAGTAAATCAACCCCAAAATGTTAAGTGACCAACCAGCAGAAATCTAAAAACAGGTGGGTAAAAATCAGAATGCATAAAATACTATTATGATGACCTCAAGCAGGGAGGGGGACTCTGGATGGGCAAGCATATACGTGGCAGTTGTTCTTTCAGGGAAGTCTATTCTGAGAAAAATATTTCCGCTCCCATTACTGACCTCCTAATATTTCCATAGGTTAAAAAAATATAAAGCCATCTATTTTAACCAATAGAAAATATGAATAAATAAATTGAAGACTTCCATATACAGAACCCACAGAGGATTCAGAGGAAGGCCAAAAAAAAAAAAAGAAAAAATGCTAGTTGGTTGGCTGATTCATGCCTTAATATTTTCAATGAAGCAGAATATGCATGCACTGGGTGTCAGAGCTCAGGGGAAAAACTAATTGATTGCTTTGGAAGTTTTGAGTAATCAAAATTGAGTGGGATTTACTAAAACTGGAGCACTCAGAATCTGGTGCAGCTGTGCATGGTAGCCAATCAACTTCTAACTTCAGCTTCTTCAATTAAGCTTTGACAATAAAACCTGGAAACTGATTGGTTTCTATGCAGAGCTACAACAGATTTTGCATGCTCCAATTTTAATAAATCTCCCCCATTGTTTCCCAATATAAGAACAGCCCAGAGTTCCACAGGATCCTCACCCATTGTGTAAACATGAACACTAAGCTATGTGAGCATGCATGTACATGCAGCAGTTGTGCAGAGCACAGATCATGCCTATAAATGATCATACCAGTATTACATGTCAATGGTCAGTTTCATATCCACTTTTTGCAGGTTTTGGTTTTTTGGTATTTGCCATGGAAATGTTGTACTGTGGTATAAGATTTAGACCGAAAAGAAACCTTGAAAGGTGTTTTGTGGTATATGTCATGACATAACGCTAGTTCTTATTCACTCTTCTGTAATAAATGGATTTTGCTGCATAAAACAAACGGTGATGGTGGGTCCATTTGTGTC